ACCCTACCAGCAAGCTTCCTCAATAGGCATGAGATCATCAGAGCAACTTCTGCTCTCAGCTGTCTTGCTACAACTAAGCCCCTGGTGCGTGGCGTCCTCGAGGGCTCCAGGTGAAGGCGGTCCAGTTAATGCCCCTGCGGCCTTTCCATCTGGCTGGCTCACTGCTTCTCGGCCCTCCTACATCCCTGTTATTCTGCTCTTTGCTTTTTATCGATTGTTTTGTTTGTTTCTGAGCAATTCTGTTAAAAGGAAGACATCTCACTCTAAAAGAGATCTAGTTTAGGCTGGAAGATGGAGAAAATGTTCTTCTAACCGACTCTTCACATTTCCCTGGATGTGACCTGACTAGCGGGCTGGCTTCCTGGGTGTATGACCTGTGCAGTCACAGAGGACCCCACATTTAGAAGGGCCCCTTGTTGACTTAATGTGCTGCTGTCACCATTTTGAAATTCTAAGTAATTTTTAGCAAAAGCCCTGGGTGTTTCCTTTGCAGTGGTTCTGCTGCCCAAGAGGTCTGCTGCCCCACCCTGCATTTCCCACCTTGCTGATTACTCACTCCTCTGTCCCTAGGTCTTTACTGGCCGCCCAGGTAATCTCCTAACTTCTCTCTGCTGTGCAGCTCTATCAGGCTTTCTGCCCCCAGCCTGGTTATTCACTCTCGCCTCAAAGCTCCTGACCCTGGGGTTCCACCAGCCCTCCAAGGGCACTATGGAATCTACTCCTCTGACCTCCTCACCCAGCAAACTCTCAGCCCCTATTGGAAAAAGTAAAGATGCCTTCTGAGCCACATGCGATGGTCCCCATGACGGTGACATGATGGACAGAACGATCGGAAGCCAGACCGTCCTTACACCCTGAAGCGCTGACTACATGCCTCCTCCATGATGAGGGCAAAGCCAGTTCTCCCTCCGTGTTTGCAAGTCCCTGTGGGGTGCGGATCGGCTTGCCCACATAGGTGCACGTGTGTGTCCTGGTGAGCTTCTGTTGTGTGTGCTTGGAGGTGGGCTGAACTAGCCTCAGGCAGAATTCTGAAGTTTATGGGTCCTGTTCCCAGCCTTCCTGCCCATTAGCCACATGCCGAACCTGCCCCTCCCTTGGCACTGGGCTCCCCTCCCTTGCCAGTGGCCACCTAGCGGAAGGGTAGGGAGGGGACCACTGGATTACAAGAGGTTTCCTGGATACTCTCCATGTAGCTACTCCTGTAAGTCTCACAGCAGATTTAGCAGTAGGTATTGCTGATGACCTTGTATAGAAGAGAGGATGTTCCCACAGATTCACTTGACCAAGGTCACCAGATCATTAAAGGGCCAGGGCTTGGGACCTAGATTTACCTGGTTGTAAGGTCTCCTGCTTTTCTCCACCCTGGCTGATCACAGGAACCCAGCTTCCCCTCCGGGAACAAACACTTCAGCTGAGCCTCATTGGCTCCATCTTAATGACCCTAACTACAAACACGTTTGCTGTTGTCCAATAAGCCGGTAAATATACCAGTTTTGAGGGGTTCTTCCCCCTGAAGCCTCAGTGCTCCCATCACCAGGTGACCTTTAAGGTCCTTTTCCAGCACAAAGAGCCTAAGATCCTCCAGGGAATGTTCCTCAGCTCACAAGCAAAGTATCTGCATTTTCATGTATGTCCTGCCCCACCTGGCTGTTTAACCTAGAAGACATGGTGTGAGGAGGGAGATTTCCGGCTAGGGGATGAGGGGGGTACGTTTGGTGAGTAAATCCACCCAGTGGCCCAGGTTCCCATCTAGCCCCCGTGTGCTGTACACACAGCCTGGCCCTCAGGGGTCTGGGGCTTAGGAAGAGAGGAACAGGTTTTAAAGCTAATTTCAAATCTAAACTTCTAAACAGTAAATCAACAAACCCCGCTGACTTTGATTCTCTCCCTCATGCCTCGTGTTTCTCTCTCTCACCTCTCTGTTCCACACTCTTGTTTGTCATCCTTTTTCTCCTGTGTTCAGTGGAAGCCTCCACCTGCACCTCCCAGGAGCCAGCTGTGCAGGGGGCCGCATCCTGTGCTCATCCCTGCTTGTTTCTGCCCCTCGGGCTCATTCTCCCCTTTGCATCAGCTACACCCTCCTGCCCTTCCCCCAGCCCAGACTGCCCTCCTCGGTCTTTTTCTCCAATCAAGCAGCTCTCAGAGTCCCAATAAATCTTCTCTTTCTCCAATGCTCACCCTGTCCCTAAATATCTCAGAAACAGAGACCAAAGCACCCCCCCCACCCAACCCTTGCCCTCTGTTTCTGTTCCAGAACCAGGAGTACCCCATCCCAGGCCCCTCATCCCTTGCAGAACTGACCCCACAGACGGACAACTGGCAACACAGCCCAGCTGCAGCCCTCCCCACCCATCTCCGGGGACACGGTGGGCTGCGAATGGAAGGCAGGCAGACAGCCAAATCTCACCTGTGACCGTGAGCCTGGTGCCTGGGCCGAAATACCGCTCATTGGAGCACAGAGTCCCAGTCCAGCACGCAAACCCCTCAGCGCCCAGCCACTCGCCCTCCGGGTCCCAGCGCCCGGCTCCAGCGCAGGGAGGGGACCAGGTGCCCGGGTCCGACCTTCCAACCCGCCCCGCCGCCGCTGCCGGGCCCGCGGACACTCACCCACCACGGTCAGGGGCTGCCGGCCCCGAAGGGCAGGGCGGCGCCTGTAAAGAACAGCCCCGGGGCTCCCCACCCAAACCGAGGCGCGCCGCCCGCGCTCACCTAGCACCAGGAGCCGCGTGCCCGGCCCGAAGTACAGGGGCTGAGTCACGGTCCCCCAGCGCCGCGCAAAAACCCGCCGCGCGTCCCGCCGCGTCCCCGGCGGCAGCGTCCCCGCTCACCTAGCACCAGGAGCCGCGTGCCCGGCCCGAAGTACTGAGTGTCAGTGCTCACAGCTTCAGGGCTCAGCACAAAAAGGGGTCCCGCGGCCCTGCTGGCGTCCTGAACGCCCCTTTCCGCTCCTAACGCCCCAGGGCACCCCGCTCACCTAGCACAGTCAGCCGGGTGCCCCCGCCGAAGTACTGAGTGTTTTGGCTCACAGCCCTGAGGCCCAGGACAAAAACTGCCGCTGCCCTCTCCTGATGTCCGGGACTCAGCCCAAGTCCCCACCGACCCTGAGCACAGCCCCAAATGAAGATGGGCAGCAGCCCACCTCTCTCCAGCCCGCCCGAGCGAGCGCTCAGGGACCCCAGCTGCCCTCCTGACCCAGCACAGTCAGCTTGGAACCATCCCCAGAATACAGCTGTGTGGTATCCACGCAGCCTTGGGACCCAGGAGCAAACTTTGCCTTCTCAGACAGCAGCCTAGGAGGGTCCAGCGCGCACGCCCCCAAAACTAGGGTTCAAGGGGTTATCCAGCCTGGGCAGCCCATCCTCCTTCCCCCCTGGAGCAACCTCCTTACTTAGCACCGTGAGCCTGGTCCCTGGCCCGAAGTACTGCTCACTGTAGGAGCACAGTGGGAAGGGGCTACCAAGAATTCCTCCCTCTTCCCCTCCTCCCCTGCCACAGACTGGGGCCACCCTCCTTCTCCCTGGCTTCTCTCTTCCCACCTCTCTTCAGAACTAGCTGGACACAGAAATCTGGGCCCTGCCTGAGGTCATCCCCCATTTGCAGACAATGAGCTTGGCTTGGGGATTTACAGTGGTTGTGAAATTGGAAGGGGTATTTGTGATGGAGATTTTGCTGGATGGGGAAGTGTTCCAGGCTAGACCCTGCCTCTTACTACTTCTGTGACCTGCAACCTCCCTGGCCTTCGTTTCTGCAACTGAAAAATGGGGTAATATCTTCCCCACAGCGCTGTTGTGAGTGCTTAACAAATTACACACCTGCAAGTGCTTTGTCAAAGGGCAAGTTTTGTGAGAAGTTTTATGATTATCCCTCTTTAACGTTTTGATGCTCCACGTTCCTGGGAAGCTTAGTGTGGAGCAGGGAGAGGCAGGGGTGATTCGTTTGGGCGTCCCCATCCGCATTCCCTGCTGTTAGTCTCCCTCATCCTTGCCCCTTCTCTCTCCCCTCAACGGGCACTCGCTACTGACTGCCTCCCACGAGTCCCTAAGGTGGCATTATACCCTGATTTTCTTGGCCGTGTTTGAAAAGCCCTGTAGGATTAGCCATCGAATGAGTATATCTATTTTCTTCCTAGTTTAAATCCCTCTTTGGTGCATGGCTAACTTTTCAGACTTAGAAGCAATTACAGTAGAGTTGAAATAAGCCTGGATTTTGAGGCAGAGGATTCCTACTAGCAGCATGATCCTGAGAACTAAACTGACTTTTTCCAATGATCATTTTCCTGCTTTTTGCAGGGTGTACGTGCTTATCTGTTTGAGTGACAGCACCTATGAATTAGAATTAGACATTCTTCCCCAGAAGAGATACTTTTCCCGTTGCATCTGACATTCTTTTCTCTATACTCTACCCAACTCACCTTTTGTTTTGATTTTTATGCAACCTGCTTTGTGGAGCCCCCGTGCCTCTGGCTATTGTCCTATCTGATGTTCCACACCGACTGCTACACCAGGGCGCTCAGGGTGTCGAGGATGGCTGGAATCCCATGAAAGGAAATGTTCATGGGTTGAACCCTTTCTTATTTCCAGTGCCCAGCAAACCTCTCTCCCCGCTTTTGAATCCTAGCTCCAGCCACGTTTTATATTCATAAAGGCAGCAAAAACTTGGAAACGAACAAATCCCAAAGTCCGAGGGCCAGTTCGTCAGAGGGTTCATATGATAAAGTCCCAGGCTCTTTGATGTGCCTGACAGAAGGGAGAGAATCTCTGGAATTGTCGGAAGGCAGGCCCTCACGTGAAGACATGGAGGAATGGGAAAAAAACACGTCTACCTTTCAAGCACCCTCCTTGTTGCCAGAAGGTACCGTGCCCTCTGTTTGGCTCTGTTCTAGGAATGAGCAGAAGTATGGCAAACCCAGATGTCTCCACTTTATCGAAGTTTGAGAAATATTTCTAATGGCAAAATTGAGACACAGGTTTGGAAAAAGGCATACTCTGTGACACAGTGAGGATAAACAATAAGAATGAAAAGGATGGCTACAAGAGGGTAAACCCTTTACAAAGGATTTTCACGTGATTTAGTCCCTTACAGTTTCAGGACCCCAAGAGACTACCATTGTCATCTCTGTTTTATACATCTCAGAGGGCCTGAGACAGTTTAGGTCACTTTGCAAATTGCGTGAGCCCCTCCTTCCCCAGAACCCAGGCATTTTGAATCCCAGTGATTTGTACTTTCCAATTTCCATGACACTCCCTGGCACGTGCTTCCCTCTGCAGGACAAAGCCTGCCGCAGCCAACCAGCCTGGTAGAACCTCTGTGGCCCGCTGCTCTGGCCGTGTCTATAACTCCAGCCCAGGCCCATCTCACCCTCGCCCTGCTTCTCCCACCTGCCTGCTTCCTCCAGAGGGTGGTGATGGTGTGTTAGCGTTTCACGATGGGCCTGTGACTCGCTGATCTCAGCACAGATCCTGAGGTTTGAGAGCACGGGGCCTCAACCTGCTTCTCTTCTTTCTGCTTTGGCTGTTGCTAAGATGGTATAAGTTTCCAGTTGTAACAGTTTATTCAGACCTACCTCCTCTGACCCCCAGCAAGCACAATGTTCCCCAGGGCCACCCCTGCAAGCTCACATGATGCCGTGACATGGACCTCGGCCTTCAGGGCTCAGGAGTCCCCCTCAAGCCCTCTCAGTCTCACCAAGCTGCTCCCCTATGGCCTCCTGGGTCCTTAAACCACCTCAGGAAGACACACATGGATCTTGGAGACAGAGAAGGACTCAAGGAAGGCGAGGACAGGGCTCTGAGCTGGAGGGAGGTGTTGGAGGTGGATTTTAACATAGAAGACGGAGCTGTTCCCCAAAACGGGGTCACCAGTGCAGGATCAGAGTTAGAAGGAGGGGGGGAAATGGAGAAGATCAGATGAGAAGGGGAAAGTGAAGCAGCACACCCGCTAAATCGGGAGAGAGGAGGGGAGTCTTGGAGAACAACGAGAAGGAGAACGAGAAAACACAAAGCCAGGAGGCGAAGCACAGAAGCACAGCTCCTCTGAGCCCTCGGCCGACACAGCGGAGCGAGCTGGAAATGCTCCGGAAGGAAAGGGCAGCTCTGGCCCCCTCCTTCCACCTCCCTCCCTGTCTGATACCTGTCACGGTGAGCCTGGTGCCGGTCCCAAAGTGGAGGGGTGAATTATAGGAACACAGCTGCAGGAGGCTGTAGGAAAACCCCCCCAGAGGTCTCCAGCCAGAGCGCTAGTCTTAGCTCCTTGAGGGCAGAGATGGCCACCTTTCCCTGCCTGGATTCACGGCTCAGGACCAAAGGGATCCCACTAGGAGAAAGGCCTAAGCACACTCTGGGGAAAGAGGGGAAAGATGAAGAGACTTAGGAGGGGCCGATCCACGCACAGAAGAAGGAGGGATGGACCACCGACAGAAGAGTAAGGAAGCAGTTTATGGGCCGAAGACTTAGAGGACAAACAGGAATCGACCCAGCCTCATCTAAAGCGATGGCAGACGCAGCTCCCCGGAAGCCCCACAGGGACCGGGGTTTACTCAACCCTCTCCCACCGGGGCTGGACGGAGGGGTAGACACTCCGGGTCCAAGGGACAGTGGCCCCCGTCTCCCAGCTCTTATGTCTTACCCAGGACAGGGAGTCGAGTCCCACCTCCAAAGTGCTGCCCCCGGTTGCTCCACAGTATAACACGGGCGTGGCAAACCCCAGAGCGGCCGGTATGGGGCCCTTCTTTCCAGAAACGAGCTTCTCCCCAGAACTTCTGGGGGTCCTAGCACCTTCTCCACTCACCCACTCTCCGCCTTTTCTCTGCTGTGTTCTCAGTCCCTGCCTTCTCTAAAGGGAAATTCTAGAACTCCAGCCTTACAATACATCATTCCCAGGGAAGACCTTTACTTACCTAGCCCAGAAAGCTTCGTTCCGCTGCCAAAATACAGGCTTTCATTAGTCGCAGAACACGAAAGCCCGGTAGGGAAACTGTGCCTGCGCCTCCCACTCTTTCCCCACCCCTCTGCCGGTCCACCTGCAGCTCTCCTGTCCCCTTCCTTGGCGGAATTTTAACCCCCGGAGGTGGAACTGGTGACAACTGTACAACCCGAAAAGCTGCGGTCAGAGGACCAGTTTGGCCCCCTGTGAGACTTCTCACCCCCCTCTCCTGTGTCCGTCTCCTTTCTTCGCGAGGGAGAGAAACGGCAGGACTGACGGATCCAAGGCCAGAAGCCCTCCCATCTACCGTGGCCATGATGGGCACCCTCCAAGGAGACGGAAGATGGACACGGAGACCCCTTTCCAGCTGAGACTCCTTGCCTCTCGGTAGGGAGACCCAGGCTTGGCACAGCGAGCCTATGAAACTATTGGAGGTGGAGGCTGTCCATCTCATCAAGATAAGAATTCATCAAGACGAGAATTCAGATTTTTCTGATAAAAACACGCTTTAACCTAGGCACCCCTATCGGAGGCTCCACCTGGACCCTGCCCCTCCCTGTAGGTTCCCAGCCCTCCAGCCCTGACTAGCTTACCTATGACAGTGAGCCGGCTTCCTTCCCCAAAATAGTAGGTGTCTGCAAAGCACAGCCTCCCAGATTCACTTCAAAACCTCTCCTTGTCTGCTGGGATTCTGGGAGAGGTTAGGGTGTTCATGGCTGCCTTCCCTCCCAGAGCCACCAGCCCCCTTCAAACACTCTGCATACCATTCCAGAACTTTCCAGGGCCCCAAGATCCAGGAGCTGGGTCATCCCTTCCCTCCCACATTCCCCGAGAGAGTGCTCCTTCGTGGTACCCACCTGGACACCCTGGCCTTACCTACAACAGTCAGCTTGGTCCCTGGGCCGAAGGTATAGTCATAGCACATCAGAATACAGCCGCCTTACAATGCACACTTGGGACCCGCCTTCCCCTACAAGGGGCCAGGAAAGGCCTGGATTATGTCTTACCTACGACCGTGAGCCTGGTGCCTTCTCCGAAGAAGACTTCAGTGTTTGCCCAGTGACGCGGAGTAAGGAGGAAAGCAAACGCGAGGAGTGCAGAGAGGAGGGGATTTTGGTTGGTGCCTGGTGGACTCTGGGACTAGGAATCCCCTCCTGTGCTCTACAGATATCGTACAGAAGAGTGTTTTCGACTTTTGACTCTTGGGGCCACGGAGCATGGGCAGAGTCCATCCAGAGAGCCCTGTGCCCTGTTTTTTTGATTCTTCCTGAGGGTCCATCAGAAGGATGTGGGCCTGGCGAGGAGGGCAGGGTCCCAGAGACCCGTGACTGTCCCCGGAGGGCTGGGTAGTGCTGGCTTCTTCCTTCATAGAACGGTCACCTCCCATGTACCTTCCCATTGACCTTGTCCTTGGGTGGGGGGAGGAGGAGGGTGGGATAAAGGGGTCTCTCTGAGGCCTTCACCCATGAGGCCACAGAGGCATCTTCTTATGTCTGGCCTTTCTGCCTGCAAGCTTCAGCTCTGATCCAGGCCTGTGCTTCTCCATGGCCTGGGCTTGACAGGTGGACGGGAGGAAGGTGGAGACATTCTGACCCAAACCACCCTTGGGCCTGTGACCCGGGAGAAGAATGGAAGGACGGTGGGAATTGGGACAGGCAGAAAGGTTTTTGTAAAGGATTCCCGTAGGGTTGAATCACTGTGGTCCCCCTGTCCTCACAACGTTACAGCTTTATACAAAAACGGCTCCTCCCATGCGTCTGCCCCTCCAAGTCGGAGTCTGGGAGAAACCACCAGAGCAGCTGCCCCTGTGAGGGCACTGGAGGGCAAGGCGGTGACATCACCGCCCCAGGTGCAAGTGGTGGGGAGGACGGACCAGGCCAGGGGGCTCCCTCCTTGTGCTCATGCCCTTTCTTCAGGACCTTCTTAGCCCCTCAGAGCCGTGTGTCTTTGCATCAGGGGCTGCTTTCCCTGGTATCTGCCCCTCCGCAAGCTGGCGTCATAGTAGCAGCCCCTTTCTATCTCGGGACTGCTCTGATGCTGGCCACACCGGAGGCCACACCTTTCAGCACTCAGTACCCAGACTCTGCCCCGTTGGCCCAATTCTGAACCTCCAGGGTGGTCTGAAGGAGAATTGGCCACAAGCTACATAGAGGTAGGGCTTTCCCAGGGGTAGATAAAGTGATAGCTGAGAGCTGTATTTCTAACCAGTGTGAGGTGAGGGGGGACCACGTGTGTCATCAGCTGCTGCACTTCTCACTGTGGACTTTAGACATTTGAGTTCAGTGGAGGGCACTGGGGGAACCAGGTGTGGAGAACTGAATGAATACAGCCTCAGGGACGTTCAAATACAATCACACGGCCAAGTGATCACGGTCAAGGTCTTCTCCCTCTTTTCCCTGAAGGGCAGGAACATTTTAAGTTTTTGGTAGATATTTTATTCTCCCTGCACGAGATGACCTTGAAATTAAGCCTCCAGCTGAGTGGTCTGCATCTCATCTCACTACATGGTGCTTCCTTTCGTTGCCTTTTAAACTATGACAACATCTAGAAGAAAAAAGGACACTCGATCACATAACGATAACACGCTTACAGGGCGAAACAGACGCAGAATCAAAAGATAAATGACAGTATGGGGAAAGCATTAGTGATTCTCGTCATGAGGGCTGATCTCTCCATGACGATGAACTCCTAGAAATCAATTAGAAAATAACCCAGAGCCCAATAAAAATGGCAAAGAACAGAGGTTCCGGAAAAAAAAGATCCAAATGGTGCTTAACCATAGGAAAAAGAAAACTTGCAATGATAAATACAAAGTAAAACTGCATTGAAATGTCACTTTTCACCAATATGATTGACAAATTGAATTATGGAAGACCATTCTATTGGCTAGTTTCTGGTGAAATATGCCCTTTTACACATTGATTGCCGGTGGGTGCGAAATAATACAACTCTTCATGGGAGCAATTTGGAAATATCTATAAAAATTACAAATGTGCTTACCTTTTCACCTAGAAATCCCACCTTTGACAGTTTATCCTGTAATTACTCTTGCATACAAATAAAAAAACTGTGTGAAGTATTTGCATTATTTGGAATAGCAAAGAGATTGGGAAAAAATTCAAGTGCCCATTAGTAAGGGATTGGGTAAATAAACTGTGAAACATTCACACAGAATATTATTCAATGCTAAAAAAGAATGAAAATGTTTCATACTGCCGTGGAAAGCTTTCTAAGATATAATGTTAACTGGATAAAAACAAGCTGTAGAATAAGGCTCCTGTATGCTACCTTTGTCTAACAAAGTAAGAATAATACTTATTATTAAAATACGAATTATACTTCTGTTTGTTTGATGCTGCGTGAAGAAACAATGGAAGGATACAAAAGCGATGGATAAAATGATTACCTGTTAAGAATGAGTGGATCGCTGATTCACTTTGTTATAAAGCAGAAACTAACACACCATTGTAAAGCAATTATACTCCAATGAAGACGTTAAGAAAAAAAAAAGAATGAGTGGAGGACACAGAGTATAAGGAAAATTAACATTTCTCAGTGTCAACTTTATTGTGTTGAGCCATACATAGCTATTTTATTTTAAATAGATAACATAGCTATTATCTATTTTCTTTTAAAGTAAAACTTAATAAAATTTAAAAAGAAAAACAACAGCAAAATACTGCTTTAAGCGATATTTTAAAATCTGCCACTAGAGAAAAAAGATACTTGTTTTATTTACAAACTCGTTTTTTCCAAAGAAGACCAGTTTATACAAGAAGTTGTTGTACTGTCTTGAATTTGCTCAGTGAGTCTCCAATCACCGAGGGGGCTCATGAAAAATACATATTTCTGAGTAGTTCCCAGGATACTTTGAGCTCAAAATCTCTAGGTTTATTAATTTGCATTTAAATAAACAATTAAGCACAAAATGACCCCGGGTGTTTCCACTTCTGCACCAGTCCTGGGATCCACTGCTGGTCCTTGAGAAGGGCAGCTGTCAGCTGGAAGCACAGCAGAGCGCTGTCTGGTGGTGCGAGAGCTGGCCGCAACTGGCAGGGCTCTTAGAATTTAGGGAAAAAGGGGAGACAGTCTGTATTTAACTCAGGAATAGTGACAGGTCTCACAATAGCCCAATACAAGGTCATCAATTGCTTTTATCAGTCGGAAGGTGGCAAGGCCTCTTCCTTGTTCCCTTTCCACATGGAGGAACTTTCATCAATGTACTGATTTACTTTGATCTAGTTCCATATAGTATTTTCCTTATTAACCCTTTTTGCCTGTCACTAATTTACCCCCTAAGTAAGCGTTTCCTTTTGACCATCTAGCTGGGGACTCTCAACCCGACTTGGACTTACAGCGAATACCACCCTGTCTTGGTTTCACAACTACTTTTTATCCTGATGGGGTTTGTCCCAGATCTTTGCCACTGTGTCACACACTGTTAGTAGCCCCAGTGCCCGCGAAGCTTTTATTTGGGGGGTGGGGTGGGGTGAAAGGAGTTTAGACCGGTCAGGCAGGTGCCGAGTGAGGTCATTCATCATCTTGGGCAGCAGGGGGAAGCCTTTCCTTATTTTTTGTTAGACTCAAGCGGCTGCACTGTCAGCGTGGCCACCTGAGGGGGCGAGAAGAATGTGGGTAGTGATCAGGGGATCCGAGGGGAAGCTGGTTAGTTACCTGTGTGCCTTTCTCAAGCTGTGTGTTGGGATGTAGGGAGGAGATACGCAAAGAACACCTACGTGTAATTTTTGAAAACTTTCAAGTACGTTAATTGACCCATTTGAACCCAAACTTTGTCTCCTAATTTCCCCAGATGAAACTGAAATCTGAAGAGGCTAAAGGGTGCGGGATGTGAGGAGACAGGGCTGGGACCAGCACCCAGGCTTCCTCACTTAAGTTCCAGGGGCTCCGCTGGGCACTGTACCTGAGCCGCTGAGGTCCCGCTCCTCCGGCAAGCTCATCTCCTGTAGCCAGACTGCGGGGCTCCCACCCACGCCCTCTCCTTACATCTGTGGACCTTGGGCAAGTTACTGAAGCTTTTTAAACTCCAGTCTCCTTATCTGTAAAGTGGGAATGATGATGATGATAAATAAAATAACATCTCCCTTATGGAGCTCTTGTGAGACATAAATAATACACGTAAAGTTTTATCACGATGCCTGCCTACAGTTAGTGGAGACGTCCGTGACTGGCGTTTTCACAGAGAGTACTGGTCTAGGGGTCTCTCTACCACACTGGTTCCCAAGCTCTGGCATCCCTCAGGATGACTTGGAAGTCTTGTTAAAAGCAAGGTGCTGGGCTCCATCTTAGAATTTCTGACCCATAGGTCAGGGGTCGGGCCTAACAATGTGCATTTCTCCTAAATTCCCACGTGATTCTGGTGCTGCTGGTCGAGGGAGCACACTCTGAGAACCAGTCTTCTGGAAGGCTCTTCCTTTCTTCAGTACATTTGCCTCCACTCCTAGCTCATCGTTCATTCATTCATCCGATCGTGGGGTGCTTACCTTAGTCCAGCTGTTGTTTAATCACTAGGATTCCCAGGACGAGTAAGGCGAGATTTCTTCCGGAAGAAGCTCATGGTTGAAGTCAAGGTAGATACATCCATATACATTCAGCAGCATGAGAAGAACTGTGATAGAAGAAAGCATGGAAGAGAAGGAAAAATCCTTATTCAGACCAGAGGGTCCACAGAGGGTCAAAGACTTTTCTGAAGAGGGTGAAGGGGTGGGTGGGAAGGGCATCAAACCAGATGGACCAGTAGTGTCTAGAGCTAGAGGTCAGAGGTCCATGTTTGTTGGAGGAAACCCCCAGGACTTCTGAGCATTGGAGCACAGCAGGGGAGGGGAGGGGTGAGGAGACCAAGGCTGGAAACATAGGCAGGGGCAGAGCAGGAAGAACCCTACATCTCCACGATGAGGAACTTACCTTCTACTTTGAAAATGTGAGAGATCAGGAAAGGTATTAACCAGGAATCAGATAACGGGCTGGACCTCTCTAAGCGCAGGGTTAGAAGGCGGGCAGGAGACCAGCATCCCTCAGGAAGTGCTGTGAGGCAGGGGATGAGCTGGAGAGACGGTGAACAGCAGAGCTGGTGGACCATAGTTGCAGCTGGAGAGCCCATGAGATGGGGTAGGGGAAGCAGGGGCTGGGCTTTGGGACCAGGCAAACAGGGACTCAAAACTCCAGATCTGGGCTTCCCTGGTAGTGCAGTGGTTGAGAATCTGCCTGCTAATGCAGGGCACACGAGTTCGAGCCCTGGTCTGGGAAGATCCCACATGCCGCGGAGTGACTGGGCCCGTGAGCCACAAGTACTGAGCCTGCGCGTCCAGAGCCTGCGCTCCGCAACGGGAGAGGCCGCGACAGTGAGAGGCCCGTGCACTGCGATGAAGAGTGGCCCCCGCTTGCCACAACTAGAGAAAGCCCTCGCACAGAAACGAAGACCTAACACAGCCAAAAAAGTAAATAAATAAACACATGTGGGGTTTAAAAAAAAAAAAAGAAAAGAATTAAAAATTAATCAATACAATCATAAATAGCATGTAGGTCAAATAATAAAGCATAATTAAAATTAGAAAAAAAACCCCTCCAGATCTGCCACTTGCTGGATGAGGGATGTGGGTAAATTAATAACCTTCTCTGAACCTCTGTTTCCTTGTCTGTACTGCTGGAATAATAACCACCCCAGAGGGGAGAGGGAACTAAATCTGAAAGTGCCCATAAAGTACTCAGTATGGCATATTCATGTCAGTACCATCACATGGGGAGAACAAAAGGCAGACTTCTCAGGAGCCTGAGGGATGGAGACCAGGGAGCTCTTGTCTTCCTCAGACACATGAGATGGTTGTTGGGAAATAGGGGCCAACAGGGTCACCTGCTGCCAGGAGAGAACATAAGCTGGGGCTTGGAGGGGACTCAGAAGAGGCCAAGGTGATTGGCACAGGTGCTTCCCTAGGTGTGGGTAGCGGTGAGACGAAGTATGGGATCTTACAGACCATGCCTACGTGTGCACATATCAGCACTGCACTCAAGACCCAGAGAAGCACAAAGGCCAATGCAGCCTTTCCGAAATGGATTTTCCTCTAGAAAATCTCCCCCTGATTGTGATTTTCTGGATTCCTTCTCTTTACATGCTGCTATACCAGTGTGCCGTGGAAGACAGTTTGGGAAGTGGGGCGCTCTGCTCATCTGTAAGGGGTACAGCCCTGTCTGACCTCAGATGGGACGAGATGTTTCCCGGAGTGAAGGGGCCGGAGGGAGCAGGTACAGACCTGAGCAGTTAGAGAAGAGTCACTTTATTAGCATAATGATGGCAGAGGGGCGGGGGCTTTAGCTGTTGGCAGCGATGGTCTGCTGAATCCAGTCCACATAGTCGCAGACCTTGGTGTAGACCCCAGGCTTGCCCTTCTGGGCACAGCCAGAGCCCCAGGAAACAATGCCCTGGAGCTCTCCGTTGCAGGCCACAGGGCCGCCAGAGTCACCCTGGGGAGGAAGCGGTGGGACAAGGTTTATAAAGGAAGAAGGGACCCAGAGCCACACACAGTCTGAACCTTACGAGACCCCGTTCCTGTCGGGTCTGTGGTTCCACATCTCTCCACAGTGTGAAGAGACGCCACGCACACTAGGCTCCCTTGTTTCTCCACGGGACCACTGCCCAGGGACCTCCTCTACCAGCCCCACAGCCCCGGGCAATCAAATCCCGTTCCCAGGGGGCCTGTGTGTCTGGGCAGGGGTCTCAGAGTGGTAGGGTCAAGTCACCTGGCACGAATCACTGCCTCCCTCGAGGAAGCCGGCGCAGACCATGTTGTCAGTGATCTGTCCAGGGTACGAGGCTTCACACTCGGCCTGACTCAGCAGTGGGGTGTCCAGGCACTGCAGCAGCTCGGGGTAGTTGACCTTGAGGGGCAGGAAGAGATCAAGGAAAGGGAAATGTGGGTCAGGCCAGGACGGGATGGCAATCCAGTGCTGAACCCTGAGGGCGGCCAGGAGAGGCCTCCAAGGAGTGATGGGTTTCAACTCCCAGAAAGCTCACTGCAGACCCCTCCCTAGAGGTGCTAATAGCAAGGGCTACATCTGTCCTGTCTTTTGATTCTCGGGTTCAACTCCTTGACACTTTGCATCTCTCTGGTACCCAGCAGAGAGCCCTTTGTGTAGTAGGCACTTGACGTGAATTTGCGACTGGAAGCAAAGGGGTCCCAGCTCAGGGGATGATCAGTTCTGGGCAATGCGGGTAGGTTGGAGGGTGAAGTCGTAAGGGTCCCACTCACCTCCAGAGCTCAGGGTGTTGCCCCAGCCGGAGATGAGGCACTGGGTGCCAGCGGGCGCACAGGCGCTGGGCAGAGCTAAGGTGGGCACCGGGCTTCAATGAACGCAGGCAAGGAGAGTTTGATCAGCAAGATGTCCCTGTTCAGAGTCCAGCTGCTGGAGCTGGGGTGGCGGACGATCTTGGCCGCGTCGACGAACTGCTCACAGCCCTCCAGGACGTCGATGTTGCACTCTCCCAGCCTCACCTGGAGGCGGCCATTGCGGGCGAAGCACAGTAAAGGCCTTTTGCCCACATCCCTGCGTCCCCCAGCGTTTTCCCTGCTCGCAGGTGGTGGTGTGGGAATGTCACAGGGCAGTAGAGGGGCAGTGGGGCAGGGAGGCCGTGAAGGGGTCCCGGGGGGGATGCTCCCCCATTTGCTTTTCCAGCCGCCTCCCCCATGCCTCTCATGCCTTCAGTGCCGTGGGTGCCACCGAGCCACTTCGAGTTCCCCGGGCATCCTTCATCCTCTGCCACCTTGCGAACTACACGGGTGACTTCTACCCCCTCCGTTCTCGCTCTGCTAAGTACCATCGTCCCGTATGAGCGAATCCAGCGCTTCTCAAAGTGCAGCCCCGGGACTGCAGCCTCAGCCTCAGCTGGGAACGCATTCTCAGTTCCCACCCCAGACCTACTGCATCAGAAACCCTGGGGGTGGGACCCAGCAATCTGTGTTTTAACAGGCCCTCCGGGTGATTCTTCTGCGCACTCAGGTTTGAAAGCCCTTGGTCTTGACAGTGATTCTCAGCTCTGCCCAGAGAGTAGATCTGCCAGAGGCAGTTATAAACTCACCAATACTCAGACTCTTCCTAAAAATTCTGAGTCAAATAGGAACTAGGCAACTGTTTTTATTGTTTTTGTTTTTGTTTTTTTTAACATATCTCTGGTGGTTTTAACCTGTAGCCAACTGGCAAAGGTTACTCGGTGTGAGGTCCTTGCCTGCTTTTCAAGCTGGCCACTCCTACCGCAAAATGGTCCATCCCTGCTTTTATGACCCGCAGCCCTTGCTGTTTGATCTATTGATTTGGGGTGTCAGCGGCTTCCTATCAGGTGCCCCATTTTACCCACAGCTCCTGCGAGTCAGCTGCCATCGTCAACTTCTTCTCTTCCCCATCATCGTTCCCAACTTCAGCAACCCCTACACAGACCCCAGCTCCTCCAGAGGGCCCTGGGCAGCGGGCTTTGTAGCCAGGGGCCCAGCACTTACGACTTGTAGCAGTGAGCCGCGGACACCACCCACTGGTCACTGATGAGGGAGCCCCCGCAGAAGTGGTAGCCACAGTTCAGGGACACCTGGTAGGGGATGGAATGCGCTGCACAGGTGTAGCCCCCTATGATCTCGTCATCATTGTCCGTGGGAAAAGCAACTTGAGACAGGAAGGGAGAAGCCAATTCAACAGGAGGGTTGGGGTTGGAGCCCAGAGCCCCGCGGCTGGAGCTTGCTAATTAGGATTCCTGAAGGAGCACAGTGGTGAGAGGGAGGCCACGGGGGAGCATCCCCAGCTTGTCTCACAGAGGTAGTTCTCCCGAGTTGCTCTGTGTGCCTGCAGGGCACAGAGCTAGGGACCCTGCAGGGGCTCGGGCCCAGACCTCCCCTGGGGCCAAGGACAAGAAACCCCCCTCACAGTGCATTCAGTGCGATAGGGTCTGAATGGGGTCCTCTCACCCACCGAATGCTTCTTTCTCTCTCTTACTCGTCACCAGTCTACTCCCCACTGCAATTTCAGCCCCGGCTTGTCATGATGGGACAGCCTAAGTAGGAAGATCTGACCGCGAAGCCCTGGCTGTAGCCAGCTCCTCCCGTAGCTCACATCTGCGCAGTGAGGCCGGGGACCACTGCGCAGGACAAAGGTAGTTACGGTTATTGGCCAATAGAACAGTGATTTGCAGCTGTGGCTTTACATCCGGGCATCTGAAAACTACCTGGGAGGCTTAAAAGGTCAATGCATGGGCCACACCCCAGGCCAATTAATAGGACTGGAATGAGTCATCGTTCCACCTCCCCAGGTGTATCCGAGGTTAGGAAGAGCTGCCGTGGAGCTATCCTAGAGCCTCAAGTCCTGGCTCATTTCACAAACCGTCCCCACCTGGTCTCCCTTTCGCGCCTCTCCCAGCAAAACCCCGAAACTGATGGATGAGGGGGATGGGAGTGGAGTCCGGCAGCAGGTGAGAGAATGAGGCTTAAAGAGACCCCCAGAGTGGGAAGGAGGGGTGCTGGACAGGGAAGGTAGGATCTCAGCACACAGGTAGAACAGGAAAGGTAGCAGGAATGGTGGAGCATGTATCTCTGCCAGGACAGGGGCGAATGGGGCGCAAGCAACGCATGGGACTCACCAGCAGCTCCCACAAAGGCAACGATCAGCAGTGGATTCATGGTGGAGAAGTGTAGTTGAGTGGCTGACGGAGAGCCTTTATACCTCCCGAGGAGAGGGAGGGCGTGTGTAGGTGAGGGTGGAGGGTCACCACCCCCCAGCCCCGTACAAACGCACCTGCAGCTTTCCTTTTCCTGGAGTCTCGCTTGGTGCTCTGTGGTTCTGACTCTGTCTGAAAGGGAACCCCCAACTGCTTGGGCTTTTCTGTGTCTAAAGCCTTAAGACTAGCCTTCTCCTGATGCTTTGCGCTCCCCCTTAGAATCAACTATCACACCCGCGATGCAGTATGAGGGGAGTTTTGGTCAAAGTATCAGGAGTCACCTTACAGGCAGAGAAAATAGATATAGGTGGAAACCATTACCTCCTACTCTAGGCTCAGATGTGTAGGTTGGATTCCAGTCCACATTTGCCCAGATTCAATTTGAATAAGACTCTGCAGCACCTGGCACTCTTCATTCTGAATTTTGGATTCCTTTGTCTATTTCTCTAAGACGTTCTCCTAGGACTTACCTGGTGGCGCAGTGGTTAAGAATCCGCCTGCCAATGCAGGGGACACGGGTCCGAGCCCTGGTCCGGGAAGATCCTACATGCCTCAGGGCAACTAAGCCCGTGCGCCACAACTACTGAGCCTGCACTCTAGAGCCCGCGAGCCACAACTACTGAAGCCCACGCACCTAGAGCCCATGCTCCACAGCAAGAGAAGCCACCGCAATGAGAAGCCCGCCCACCGCAATGAAGAGTAGCCCTTGCTCGCCGCAACCAGAGAAAGCCCGGGCGCAGCAACGAAGACCCAACGCAGCCAAAAATAAATAAATAAATTAATAAAAAAAAAAGACATTCTCATGGTTGATTTTTAGCTCTTGGCCCATCAAGCCACTGGCTTTTCATTATGATAATGGTGGGTGGTTTCCGTGCGCTTTACCAAATGTGTGTGAGTCTTTCACGGACCTTTTTCACTTTATTGTCACAACCACCTGTGGGGTTGCCATTTTATAGATGACAAGATGAGCTTTATAGAGGTGACGTAACTTTCTCAAGGTCACACAGCCAGTAAGCTGTAGAGGTGGGATTTAAGCATGGCAGGCCAACTCCAGAGGCTGTAAATTCTACCACGGAACGTTTGGCTCCCCTTCCCTTTATTTGATCCTCACACAGCCTCATGAGTTGGGCAACAGATACCATTTTCTCCTTTTTACCAATGAAAACTCTAAAGCTAAGCGGTTAAGTGACTTCTCCAGGGTCACCCAGCTAAGGAATCCTTGAATGACAGCAGAACCTTTCCCTGTGGAAGCTAAGTTCATTCCCACCATGTTGCTACGTAGTGGAGTCTTTCAGACCTCCTATTGGTCTGAAAAGTAGATTTTTGTCAGATTCCAAATCGTTAGTTTCTCTTTAAAAAATACTTCCCTCCCCCAGCCCCCCAGCTCAGGTATTTCTCCTCAACTCTTAGTCAACTCCTCCTTGGCCCCCCAGGGTCCTTTACCAGCTCCAATCAGATTGTCAAATTCTCTGCTGTCTTTCCTCCAAACCCCCAACTCCTTCCCACCTCCATTATTTTTTCTAAACTACGTATTTTGCCCATTGTGCAATTTCTCTTTATCCGCTAAGAACTATTTTCTTGAATGGCGCAACCTGGGAATCACTGAATCTGGGTAGTGAAGGGGTGGTCTGTGTGATCCAAACACACTGAAGGGTGAGACAGAGGCTAGAGGCACAGACTGGGCATAGGCTGGTTGGCTGCATGGAGTAGTCTGCTTCTCCTCCCCAGCCCTCTCCTGCTTCCCACCTTGAAGCAAGGAAGATGGGTACGTCTACTTGCACATTTTGTCTAGTCTTCAGGCTGATACAGAGGGGTGAATGGGGGAGTCTCTAGCAATTGAAGCTTTTTATCTGAAGACAGATTGGTTCCTATACTATAATGGTCTTTTTGTCCACATTGCAGTCATTCCTTGTCTCATCCCTGGGCTTATTAATGCTGCTTAAGTGACTCCAGAGTCTACTGACGAGTACTCAGAGGAGAGCCAGTAAGGAGTCTGGGAGGAATACCCACGTGGCTGTTATTGTAGCAGCGATGACTTGTACCATGATACACAGAGTTTAATAAATGACAGGTGTATTTACTTTTCTAAATCATATTAGATCCAGACTGAGCCCCACAAGTCAAGTTCAGTGGTAAGCCCAGTCCACTGAGCTCCCTCCACTGATTTAGCTTTTAAACACTCTAGACTCTGTTGTCCATTTGGAAGGCAGCCAACTGGTCAGCCCACTTCCTATAGGCCGACCTGTCCAGGAGGATCTTCAAAAGGCTCCCAAGTCTCAGAACTGAGTGCTCAGTCCACACAGGAACCAACACAGCTCCAAACTGAGGACCGTCCAAGTTCAGGGCCACTGTGTTTGAGCAGGTTCTGGGCTTGCCTCTCTAGAACCCACCATAGCTGTTCCCTTTCCCAGCCTGGGCGGGGTGGGGTGGTGGAGCAGAGAGAGCTGGCACACGTTTTGGGGCCACCATTCTCCTCAGGCAGAAAGGTGAAAAGCCTCTGTCCCCTCCCTGTTAGAACAATCTAGTTCATTTTTAATGGCCTTACATTGCCTGAACTCAAATGATTTTTGTACAGTGTTTCTCCAGGGAAATCCACATGGCTTGGCAAATTTTTCTCTTTTCTGCTGAATCATATTTATTTACTCAATGTATTAGTTTGCTAGGGCTGCCATAACAAAATACCACAGAAATCTATTTTCTCACAGTTCTGGGAGCTAGAAGTCCACGATCAAGGTGTTCATAAAAGAAACTTTCACATACTGAGGTATGGAGAAGTCATTCTGGCTTATACATGAGTTAATTTGAATTTTATGCTAACTAAAACAGCCTGTTTGTTGCCCATCAGACATATACTGTACATCTGCTTTAATTATTAAAGAAAAGGGCACATTGACTGGAAGTAAAAACGTCTATGTTAAAACATAAAATGCCTCGTTTCCTGGGACACCAGTGCTGATACTCCTTCGATGATAAGACTCCTTCTCAGGGACCAAGGACATACTGACTCACTGTACGTGTTGATCTGTTTTGTTTTAAACCTTGAAGGAATGTATCCCTGACTTGTTTAATGTTCTTTGTTCTGACAAGATATAAAACTGGGTTGAAAACCATGCTTCTCTGGAGCAGTTCCTCAGAGTTATCTGAGAGGCTGTCTTCTGGGCTATAGTTCTCAGTTTGGCTCAAATAAAACTTGTTTCTATTCTTATTACAGATTGTTTATGGATTATTTTCGTCGACAGTGTCAACAGGGTTGTTTTCTACTGAGGCCTCTCTCTCCTTGGCTTGCAGATGACCTTCTTCTAACTGTGTTCTCATGTAGCCTTTCCTCTGTGGACACGTCCCTGGTGTCTCTCTTTTTATGACCTAATCTTTTCAGATTGGATTAAGGTCCACTCTAATGGCCTCACTTAAATTAGTTCTTTAAAGATCCTATCTCCAAATACAGTTACATTCTGAGGGACTGGGGGATAGGACTGCAGCATATGAATTTTGGAGGAACACAGTTCAGTCCATAACACTAAGTAAATATTTACTGAATTCCTGTGATGTTCCTGTAATTTCTCTAAGCGTTATGGAAACAGCAATGAGGAAGACACAAAAGGTCCTTGCTTTCATGGCATCTCTGTGTATTTATGTGTGTTCGTGTCCACACATATGTAAGGAGGTATAGCTATGAGAGGCAGACAGTAAATTAAAAATGTATATATACATATATATGTATATATACATATAAAATGTGTATATAATTCCTACAGTTGACCTTTGAAAAACATGGGGTTTGAAATGCACTGGTCTGCTTATACATGGATTTTTTTTTTACAATAAATACTATAATATTACATGATCTGAGGTTGGTTGAATGCACAGGTGTGGAACTTCGGATACAGAGGGCCACCTGTAAAGTTATACATGGATTTTCAACTGTGCAGAGAGTTAGTGCCCTTAATCCGCACCTTGTTCAAGGATCAACTGTATATTTATATCAGACTATGGTGATTAGATGTTATTAAAATAGGATAAAGTGATAATAAATGTGAGTAACTGGTGGCTGGGTCCACAAGTGCTATATTAGGTAAGAAGGTCGGGAAAGCTGTACTTTGGGGAGATAGTATTTGAGTTGAGAACCTGAATAAGAAGATGCCAGCCCTGTGAAGGTGGGGTAAGCAGGGCTTTCATCATTCCCTGCTGAGTCTATAACAGAAATAAATTGACACAACCACTGCTTTTTAAATTAAATTACCCTATCATCTAGCATGTAGATATTTACCTTGCTATTAATTTTAATTGTAAAAACTGACATTTAAAGCATGGTTTAAAGGATCAATTTAAAGAATCAATACACCAAAATATTCTTATAAGTTAATGTCAAGTATATTTTTTGACATGAAATATTGTTGGCTTAAGAGAATAAATGATAAAATACATATGATCTAATTTTATTTAAATGGGTGATTTTAATTTTCCTCAGTTTAATAAACTGTGTATTTCACAAAAAAATGCATTAATTTTGTTATTAAAATAGCTAAAATAAAGAGAAACCATTATAATAATAAATAAAATTTTCCCAGAGAGGGCAATACCTGACCTTGAGGATGGAATTGTTAATGGTAAAATTTCATGCATTACAGTGAGAAATACATTTAACTAGTAACTAAATTGTGTGTTTTGTCTCTACCAGGCACAGTGTGATGTGGTTTACATGGAAGACTTCATCTCATGCTTATAAAAATCCTCACGCCTTTCTTTTTTGGCATCATTATTATCCTTATTTTATATATAACAATATTATATATATGCATATGAAATTGTGTAACCTGTCAAGGTTACACCTGGTGATAAAGCAGTGGAGTCAAGTTTTAAGCTCAGGTCTGCCTGGGAACAGAAATCAAGCCCCTAACCACAGCGTTTTACTGCTCCTTAGGAGAAAAGTCTGCCATTGTACAGGAAGATGCTCACAGCCCAAGGCTTATTTGTAGGTGAATTTGCCCATTTCCTAGGGAGCAGGGGACAGGAAGGTAAACCAGCACTTCTGATCCATCTGATCAAATGGGTGCACATGTGGATCCCTGTGACCAGGAGAATCAGCATGTGTAGAAACCGGGTAAGACCCACGGGAACTTGTACAGGACCGTGAAGGGAATCGCTTTTTCATAAAGCCAGGCTGCGGGAAAAGCTACACATAGTGAAAGGGCGAACTAAAGAAAATAACCCCCCAGGCAGCTGACAAGGACTATTATTTTTCTTGGTCTTGGCTTTGGGTGGAGGATTAAAAACAGCTTCCTCAGGCTTCCCTGGTGGCACAGTGGTTGAGAGTCCGCCTGCCGATGCAGGGGATGTGGGTTCATGCCCCGGTCCGGGAAGATCCCACATGCCGCGGAGCGGCTGGGCCCGTGAGCCATGGCCACGGAGCCTGCGCGTCCAGAGCCTGTGCTCTGCAACGGGAGAGGCCACAGCAGTGAGAGGCCCGCGTACGCAAAAAAAAAAAAAAAAACAAACAGCTTCCTCTGAATATTCATGGCCACTGAATAGTCAGCCCTTTGGGGTTTGGCACAGACACTGTACGGCCAAGAAGATGGACACTGAGAATTATAAAAGAAAACATCAGGTCTGTTGCACCCCAATTGCTTGACAGAGGCAAAAATAAATATTTCCTGGAAAGCCCACCTTTACTCCAGGATTTAGGGGATTCCCAAAGATAAATTTTATAATATCAAATTACACAATGCACAGGGAAATAAGCCACCCTGAGTGAGAGGCAGCAGAAACCACAAGAAAACCAGGTGTGTAAAGTCATCAGATGTTGGCACGAACAGGTAATTCCAAGTATAAGTTTGATAGCCTTAAAGAAATAAAATAACTGAAAAATACAGGACGAGTAAGATTTTTCAGAAATGACTGCTTATATTTGTAGAAAGACCCAAGTAGATTTCCTGGAAATGAAAATATATTTTAAATTAAAAAGTCAATTGAAAAAAAAAAAGGTCAGTTGAAAGGTGAAATGGCTTAATGGAGTTGAGGTGTGAATTAGTAAATAGGACAGAGAGTCTAAAGGAATTACCCCTAACACAGCACAGGGAAGCAAAAAGAGGGAAAATGTGAATGAATGGCTAGAATCTAGATGATACTGGGAAAGTTGAACACAGGCTAGATCTATTCTTCAGGACTGAGGTTCTGGCCCTTGTGAAGATTTTCCTTTACCACTACCTTTCAGAACCATACTTATGTTAAACTGTAATGATCATTCCAGAATAAAATGCAACCCTACCCAGAAAACAGCCCCATAGTTTTTGAGCTGCAAATAGGGAATTCCCACAAAACCTTGCGTACGGATTGAGGGTAAGGTGGGTGTGGAATAGGAGTGTGGACCAGGAAACTGGGACTTGCTCTTGAAATCAAATTGTGCCTCCTTCCAGCTGTGCTTGAATCTTGTCTTAATTATACATTTTCCATTGAGTAACAGAATACTCTGTGCGTGTTCAACTTCACAGTTTTGCAAATCAGCTAACACCCAGTTCTGAATGCCGTGATGAGGCATTTAGTAAACAGCCAGGAGCAGCTTTTCAAAGGAAGAATAGTTGTTGCCAGGTAGAAGACAGACAGGATGGCTTTACACCAAAACTCCTTGCATCTGCCTGTGATTCTCTTACTGGGGAATGCCACGAGCTCTACAGAGCAGCCCATCCGCCACGGGCACTTCAAGAATAACTGAGCTACTCAGTCTGTGGCCCAGGTGGCTGGGAAGCTTACATCATCGCCTCATTCTGCTACAGAACTCTGTCTTGCACTGGCCCAGCCTTACAGATGACACAGTAAATGGACCAGAGTAGCACACCCAACTGTAGTATATGTTAACTCCGAAATCCAGAAAGTCCCATGAAGCATTGCACCTCTTTCTCCACGGCAGATGATGTAAGATGCAGCAGCTCGCCCCTCGCTTTGGAGGACATTCCAACATATCTCACACCTCTGGACTCCTCAGAAGCTCACCAAGTCGGCAGGTCCCTGAATTTTTGCAGACCTGCATTGGTCTGGCATGCATATGTCGTACCAAGGTATCTAGCGTGCTTTACAGTTTCCATTCACCAAGAACAATCGGCATAATGCCATCAGTGTACTGGACCAGTATGATATCAAGATGGCTAAGGGCCTTCTAAACTATATCGATAGAGAACAGGCTAAATATAGACTTGAGATAAAATACTTAAAGGGTACTTCTGAGTGTGCCACTTGAAGGCAAATTGTATCTGATTGTCTTTACTGAATATTTCTAAACATTCCTCTGGAAGAAATTTTATCCTCACCCTCCAGTAGCTACTCTTCCTGTCTGTGGCTGGGGCCCTCCAGCGGATCCTACCAGTTCTCTCCCCATCCCAGCCTACCCATTCACACCCATCCCCACCCACCAGTACACAGGCAGCTGCATCTGCCCAAGAGCTGTGGTTTCCCCCCTCCAGCCTGCTTCCCAGGGTTCTCAGGCTCACCTGGATGGAGTCGGGTAGGAGGTTGCAGGGGTTCTTGCTGGGACCTTCGATCTGTGCCCAGCACGCGTCTCCAGCGCTGCAGAAGTAAAGAGCTGCTACCCTCGGGGCTCACGTTGCTCACAGTCAGAGTTGAGAACGGCAGGTTTGGGCGGCGAATGGGAAACTTGTCCTTGGTGAGCCCACTCCCATAAGTGGCCTCAGAGCCCTGATTCACAGTTGCCATCAGCACCAAACTCTGTCCTGGAAACTGACGGTACCAGTACATGAAGGTGAGCTGGCCATCGACCTATAACACTGGATCATCACGGAGGTCCCGTATTCACAGGTGTCCCTGCTTGGCTTTTGAGATAGGAGAGCACCAAACACAGAGCCTAGTTCCAGAGAGATAGGAAAACCCACGAGGGCTGACAAGCTTGTCCCCAGGCAGGAAGGTCTTTTACTATTTGCTCCAATACCACCTTGGCCCCCAAAGAAACCTGTAGCACTGCCTGCACTTTGGTTTTGTTCTGCCAACTGTTATTATGTCAGGATCCTCTAATCCAACATCTCCCCCATCCTCTGACTGGTGGCCTCGGACACCCTACTCCTCTCCCCAACATCCACATTTACCCCAAACTTCCCCCCAGTATAAGGCCATACCTAATCCCAGGAGAAGTGGCAGAAGAGTCAATATCTTTAGGTGATGGCCTCGCCTCTTCCCAGAGAAAAGGCACTAAGACATCAAATTCAAGTTCATCTTCTGTCACCACTGTGTAGCTCATCCCTACTGGCTCTCTCTTCCCTTCTTGTCATAGGCAGTCGAGTTTCTGCAGAATATGGAGACTTGTCTGCCCCCTAGTGGAGATGTGTGGCTCTTCACTTAGTTTGGATCTTCATTCACAAGTCTCTCAGCCTGCAATTGCAGTCTATCCAGCACGCGTCCACCACCTCCCCATCCATCACTACTGAGCACCACGTATGTGCTACTCCTTGGGTGTAAAACAAGACTAGGTATGCAATATGGACCTTAGATAACTAAAGGTACAATTTTAGAATATTAGGGACACATAATTCAGAATATCGACTGTCTGCTGAGTCTTTATTTTGGTTGTCCCAAATTGAACGCATTCTTCCTTCCCTGATACATACTCCAGTAAACTGGCTCGTACTGCTGAACACATTCCTCTTAATAAGTGGTGCATGTATATACATGGAATATTAGTCATAAAAAGGAACGAAATAGTGCCATTTGCAGAGACATGGATGGACCTAGGGACTGTCATACAGAGTGAAGTAAGTCAGAAAGAGAAAAACAAATATCGTATAATATCATTTATATGTGGAATCTAGAAAAATGATACAGATGAACTTATTTGCAAAGCAGAAATAGAGACACAGATGTAGAGAACAAACACCAAGGGGGGGAGGCGGGGTGGGATGAACTGGGAGACTGGGACTGACAGACACACACTACTATGTATAAAATAGATGACTACTGAGAACCTACTGTATAGCACAGAGAACTCTACTCAATGTTCTGTGGTGACCTAAATGGGAAGGAAGTCCAAAAAAGGGATATATGTATACGTATAGCTGATTCATTTTGCTGTATAGCAGAAACTAACACAACATTGTAAAGCAACTATACTCCAATAAAAATTAGTTAAAAAATAAATGGTATCCCCACTCATCTTGTTGTCTAGGCTCAGAAATTCATCTTTTTTTTAAATTTTAAATTTATTTTTGGCTGCATTGGGTCTTCGTTGCAGGGCACGCAGACTTTCTCTAGTTGTGGTGAGCGGGGGCTACTCTTCGTTGCGGTGCGCGGTCTTCTCATTGCAGTGGCTTCTCTTGTTGCGGAGCACGGGCTCTAGACACACGGGCTTCAGTAGTTGTGGCATGCGGGCTCAGTAGTTGTGGTTCGCGGGCTCTAGAGCGCCGGCTCAGTAGTTGTGGAGCATGGGTTTAGTTGCTCCACGGCATGTGGGATCTTCCCGGACCAGGGCTCGAACCCGTGCCCCCTGCACTGGCAGGTGGATTCTTCACCACTGTGCCACCAGGGAAGTCCCCAGAAATTCATCTTTATTGCCTCTTTTGTTCTCAGGTCTCTCACAATTAATTCACAACTCATATGCGTGGTATCTCTATTTGTCTGTCATATCTCCGCCTCATTTTGGTCATCAATGGTTATTTGTAATACAGTTTCTTCTATTCTAATTCAGCTCATTATGGACTGTGGGACAGACCACCCCTCTGTAAAATCTGACAACAGTGCTATGGTCCTTTTTCATCATCCAGTTGATTTCCTCCGTCACGTAGCTTCCTGAAGCAGTTTAACACTTGCATAAAAACTGAGCTAATGTTTTTGAGCACTTACTCTGTGCTTTATAGGAGTTATTTCAGTCTGTGAATTAGGCGACTTAGGCATTTTTACAGATTAAGAAATTTTACAGATTAGACACGAAGACTTTATATAACCTAAACAAGTTCACACAATCTGAGATTAAGTGACAGAGGCCTGACTCAAATCCATGTCTATGTGACACCAAAGCTCAAAAGCTAACAAGGGTGCTATTAGGGATTGCCTCACGTTTGCCGTTGCTTGTGCCTTAGTAGAGCAGAAGCCGGTGGATGACTGAGAACCATAGGCCTAAATACCCTAAAGGAAGCGAGGAACCTCTAGAAAGAAATGTTTGCAAAACTAACTTATCTCTTTGATTCTGAGATGCCATCTATTAAAAGATGTACTGTTAAAAACATAATTGTTATTTTTAAGTGGTTGTTAATTCTATTGCATTAGCAATGAACATTGAATATAGGATTTGCCAGTATTTTAGAAAAATAAAATTGTGAAAAACAATTTACCTTATAATAGAGAAAATGTGGTATATTAGGGATAACAATATTCCAGTAACCCTTTTCTATGGTGTGTGTGTATAGCCCCTACATCTATGGGAGATACTAGAGACAGTGGTTCAAAATAAACCCTACATAGGTATAAAGACGCAGATGTAGAGAATGGACTTGAGGACACGGGGAGGGGAAAGGGTAAGCTGGGACAAAGTGAGAGAGTGGCATGGACATATATACACCACCAAATGTAAAATAGATAGCTAGTGGGAAGCTGCTGCCTAGCACAGGGAGATCAGCTCAGTGCTTTGTGTCCCCCTAGAGGGGTGGGATAGGGAGGGTGGGAGGGAGACGCAAGAGGGAGGGGATATGGGGATATACGCATACATATAGCTGATTCACTTTGTTATACAGCAGAAACTAACACACCATTGTAAAGCAATTATGCTCCAATAAAGTTGTTAAAAAAAAACCCAAAAAACAAAATAAACCTTACAAAGTAGTATCCTGGTAAAAAGTATAGAATAATCCAATTTTTCCTGACATGAAACATTAAGTACATTAAAATCTCTTGGTCAAATACACCAAACTTTCTTCCAAAATAAACCCAAATCTTTTTCTATTTTAGCAATCCTAAATGCTTCTGAAAATTGCCTAATTACTTACTGTGATGGCATAAGCAAGAGTCTAAAGCCGAGGAAAGCACAGACTCCCTGTGCCATTTCCCTGAGGTAATGGCGTTCTGCTCAGGGCCCGGGGATCAGCACAGACGTGGGCCGTCTTCTCACTGTTGAGAAGCCTGAACAAAAGCCTCCAGCAGGTTTTCGGCCCCTGGGGTGTGGGAGAAGGGTGTGAAGGGGGCGCGAGGAGTGGAGAAGGACTGGGCGCTGAGTCAGAATGGGGAAGTGTCCCAGGGTTCCCCCACCTCCTCCCACGAGGAGGCCGTGGCAAAGGGGCCTGAGAAAGCCCTCTACCCAAAGCCCAAGGCCGCAGATAAAGAGACCTAGGAATGCAGTTTCAGGGCTAGGAACGCAAATGTTATGAAAAAATGACCAGCCCGGGGGTCTGAGTCCTTGAATACAGCTCCCTTCAAAGACAGCAGTGCGCTGGCTGTGGACCTGCAGGTAGGTGTGTGTTTAGCTTCGTAACCAAAACTAAGCGAAGGGAGAGATGTTGGAAGAAGCAGGCGCACTGCAGATCAGCACAGATGTGGAGAGGAACTGGGTCTGGGAATAGCGCTCTCTCTACCAGAGGCTCAGTTGAGGTGATGGCAGCTGTAATGGGGAAGGACCCAGGTAGCTCTGGAAACAGACTCACAGGCTCATACCTGTTCTGTTCTCTTGCAGTTGATTTTCTGAGTCAGGACAATGTTTGCTGCGAGAAGGATAGTAGATGCTTCATTCTTAAAAATAAACAGATATTTTCTCCAGTTGATTGTGAGTAGGGATATAACCTAATTCTTTTTTGGTGGGGGGAGTTAAAAACAAAGGTTTATTTCTTGTTCATCTCCACCACGGGTTGTCTGGGGGCTCTGCCCTAGGTCTCCTCATTCAGGAACGTAGGCTGAAGCAGGAGTCACCAACTCAAGCACTCACTCGCCTCCCAAGCAGAACTGAAGATAGGTCTGGAGGCCTCACATTGGCTGTTAAAGTTTTTGGCCTGGCAGTGACACATGTCACTTCTGCTTACTAATCACTCACTGCAACGTCTCATGCCCCACCCCCTGCCCAACCTCCAGGAACCAGGAGGTACAATCCCATCGTGTGCCAGGAAGGTGGGCCCCAGAAATACTTGGTGAACAGCATTAATGGTTATTAGAGTCACCTATACAATATACATCTCCTCAGTCTTCTTCCTAGGACGATGCTGATAACTTTGATTAGTTATTTATCTCTCTCCCATGCTGCCCATTAAGTTAGGCAAATCTGACTCTATTTCCTGTTCTAGGAATAGACCTGGATGCACTTAAGTCCATCAAAATCATCTTAACCTGGTTGTAATTGGTTCAGGAAGGAACATGAGACATAATTCAGGTCAATGAGATGCTATGAGAGGTTGCAGGGTCTTTGGGGAAAGTTTTTCTCATTCTTCCAGGACAGACAGCTTCTGGGAGTAACTCCCTTTTTCTCCCTGCATGTGAGGACGAAAGCAAAGAAGCCCCACTGCAACTTCAGATATAGCCTAATTCTTACCATCTCCTGCATCATAGTTTATTCCTTCCCTGATCAGAATTTTTCAATAAAACATTACTGACCATTCAGAGAACCTGGAGAAAGATGTATTTTTATCAGAGTTTTCCTCTTTATAGATTGAATGAACAGAATTCAAATCCCACAAACTTTCTCTGGAATCAGCACATGGACAATAACATTTACCTCAACAAAGGGTTTAGAATGTGTGAGTGCCCTCAATGAAGAGCAAAGGCGTAGAGATCAAACGTATAGATACCAAGGGGGAAGGGGCCTGGTGGGATGAATTGGGAGATTGGGATTGATATATATATACACTATTGATACTATGTATAAAATAGATAACTAATGAGAATCTACTGTACAGCACAGGGAACTCTACTCAGTGCTCTGTGGTGACCTGAATGGGAAGGAAATACAAAAAAGAGGGGATATATGTATACGTATAGCTGATTCACTTTGCTGTACAGTAGAAACTAACACAACATTGTAAAGCAACTATACTCCAATAAAAATTAATTTTTAAAAAAGAGCAAAGATACTGAGCGAGTAGCAAATATATAGTAAGAGGGAAAAAGATGGAAAGGAAAGGAGAGGAGAGGGGAGGGGAGGGGAGGGGAGGAAAGGAAAGGTTGATTTTAAGATGTTAGGGGAGGGCTTCCCTGGTGGCGCAGTGGTTGAGAGTCCGCCTGCCGATGCAGGGGATGCGGGTTCATGCCCCGGTCTGGGAAGATCCCACATGCCGCGGAGCGGCTGGGCCTGTGAGCCATGGCCGCTGAGGCTGCGCGTCCGGAGCCTGTGCTCTGCAACAGGAGAGGCCGCAACGGTGAGAGGCCCACACACCGCAAAAAAAAAAAAAAAAAAAAAATAGGGCAGGGCTTCCTCAGCGTGATTCTGAGAGAGGACTCCTCCTCCTGGCTGGAGTCTCATGAATTTAGGTTGGAAACAACATGTAAGATTGGTCAGGTTCACTTCAGAATGGCCCCTGACTTGGAAAGGAGTGGTGAGTGGGGCTTAAAATATACCCCGTGCTGTCCTGGCCAAGACGTGCGGCTATGGGTTCAGTTCTTCCTAACTGTCCACCTTTCTTCTAATGGGCACACGTGCTGTAAGAGCAGCACAGCTCAGCCCTGACTTAGGGTCAGCCCCTCTTGCATCTGCCCTTATGTAAGTCTTTGTCTGTTTAGATTGACCTTCCAAAATATTTCTGCAGGAATTGTTTTCAATGAAATCTAATCTATAAAACTAAAACTACACTTAATATGCCTTCTTTAGCCTCCATGGATGTTAAATTTTCATTCATTACCAAATATCCTACATCATCTCTATTGATTTTTTTCTCTAAGCTGCACGATACTTTTGTAACAGGCACCTTACACAAATGCATCAGGCTCTGCTTACCGGCTAGGAAGGAAAAGCTACAAACTCCAGGGAAATTCTAACACTAACCATCAATTTCTCTTCCCTGAATTCCTGATGAAATCCCTTAACCACAAGTGGTCAGAAGAAGTACGTCTGACTTTGTGTCCTGATTCAAGTTCTATCTTCCTGTTAGGCTGCTCTTTGCTTTTGAAATGATTGGTTTTAGCATTTAGGAGATTTTTATCAGGCTGCTAATAGCTCCCAGCTATCCCCAGGACATCTGTGCATCCAGGTTGGCGTCTTGCATTGCAGAGTATCCTAACAGAGAAGAACAAACCTGACTCCATATTGGATCTATTCCTTTAGCGCTAACCTTTGTGCTCTGTTCCCTGTGCTGCTGACTCTGCACCTTTGTAGAGAATGTTGCCTATAACCTGAAATATACATGATAGCCCATTCTCAAGGCTCTGCCTCCCAGGCTTGACCTTTAAAGGTATAACAGTTTTCATTCACATAGAGATACAAAGTTGCAGAACAGAGAATATCATTTACCTTGTTGGAGGTTTACAGGAACACTGTGACCCCGCTGAGTTGGACAACAGCAAGAGCAAAGGATTATGGCATCCCTGCTGGGGCCTGGCCAGCATCAAGAAGTCTGAAACAACGAGCAATATCCCCTCCCCGTTTAGTAAAAGAAGCCTGAGTTTTAACTTGGGTAAGACGGTTCCTCCCATCTTCTTGGTCTGCTGGCTTTCCAAATAAAGTCACTATTCTTTGCCCCAACACTTTTTCTCCTGATTTATTGGCCTGTTGTGTGGTGAGCAGTGCAAGCTTGGACTCAGTAACGATAGGAGAAATGTGTATATAATTTTGGTAGTATTAAGGAATTAGAAATAATTTTGTTAGGTAAGGTAATATTATGGTAAGATAAGAAAATGTCATTTTTTTAGAGCTTACTAAAATCTGCAGTAAAATATTACGAGGTCTGGAAATTGCACCAAAATACATCAACTAAAAATGCCGGGAATGGAAGAAGGAAGGGTGGCAAAATGTTCATTATTGAATCTGGGTACTAGGACTCATTTTATTATTCTCTCTGCTTTTGCGATAGAAATTTTCCTAATAAAAACCTTGAAAATATTATACCAAGAGAAACATGGAAAGTACAAATTATTTTTATGCAATGCTTTACCACAACATTAACTTATATTAATGTCAAAATGTCAAGATTACAAAAGACAGGACAGACTGGGGAGCATTCCAGATTAAAGAGTAAAGGGACATAAAAACTAAGCACAAGACGTAATTTTGGATTGGACCATGGACCAGAATCTTTCCCCCTTTTTGCTATAAAGGACATTATTTGGACAATTGCCAAATATAAATAAAGTAAAACATACTGACATAAAAAAATAATCAATTACAAGTTGTTCTGCTTTTATTATCACCATGTGCCAGAAATTCTAAACAACTTTGGTGATAAATGACCCCTTACGTGCTTTGTCCTTCTGTGACTGGTTTTTTTCACTTAGTATGTCAGACCCTGAGCAGCAGAAAGAAGAATCTTTACAGGGGCTGCGGGGAGCAGGGAATGGGGAGTTGCTGTTCTACAGGTGTACATTTTCAGTTGTGCAGGATAATTAAGTTCTAGAAATCTGCTGTACAACATTGTGGCTGTAGTCGACAATACTAAATTGTACACATAAAAATTTGTTAAAAGAGATCTCACGTTAAGTGTCATCACCAAAAAAAACCAAAAAACCAAAAAAAAACCCAACCCAAATAATAGTAACAACAAAAAACAACTCACCAGGTGATGTTGGTGCATGTTCAGAACACTCATCATGACAAAAGGGTCAGATGCGGACGCCACTATGAGGATTGTATGTCCCAAAGTTTTATTTGTAGTTACTCCTCTTCCCTCATCTATTAAAATTTTCTAATGGCATATAAATTGTTGAAAAATTGCCTGTGTACAACACAAATCAATTATAATCATACAATGGCTTCTACATTTTTTTTTTTTTTTTTTTCTGGTACGCAGGCCTCTCACTGTGTGGCCTCTCCCGTCGCAGAGCACAGGCTCCGGACGCGCAGGCTCAGCGGCCATGGCTCACGGGCCCAACTGCTCCGCGGCACGTGGGATCTTCCCGGACCGGGGCACGAACCCGTGTCCCCTGCATTGGCATGGCAGGCGGACTCTCAACCACTGTGCCACCAGGGAAGCCCGACTTCTATGGTTTTTTGCAATTATATAAAATCATACAATCATAAAGATTCAGATTAAATTCCTTACATTTGACACTACTGTAAAGATCTAATAGCTAATCCAACAGCCAAAACCTTGCTATAAACAAGAATATTGACCCAGTTACTCAACACAAAAACCCTTTGAACATGTTTTACTGCATTATTTACTTATACAAAGGGTTTCAACTCAATACATCATTCTTATTTCTATTAGAATGTGTTTTCCTTTTTATTTTTTTACACGACAGTGAAATCTGTAAATATGCAATGTAATCAACATGTTTAAATGAAAGGCATTAGGCTAAGATTAAAATTCTTCCCTGGCGCATAGAGGTAAAATAAGAATTTTTCTTCATTAAAAAAGAAAAAAAACTCCTTCCATAAAAATCTTTCATTGGTCTAAGCGAGAAACGATTTCCATGTTTATATATGTATATTTTGTATAAACACACACATATGTATATGTGTGTGTGCACGCGCATATAATTTCTCTCTTAACAAGCACTGTTTCTCCACAGAAGTTGATTTGGAGAATTCCCAGTTACGCAGCTTCCCCAGTCACACCCTGGCTGTTTCAAGAGTTAAGGTCCTTGAAGTTTGGGATCATTCATGCTCCTTTCAGGCACAGGTTCTGCCCCAGCCCCTCAGTACTATATATTTCTCTATTTAAACATTAAATTAAAATATGCCTAATTTTTGTCAAGATGAAGA